TCAGTGATGTGACGGTTTCCTGTTGCGAACTGGCTACCACTTGGGGGTACTTGACCTTTGGTCCATGGAGTGGGATCATTCTTTCAATCCCAATTCTAATACAGGTTTCCCTTTTTCTCTGAGAAACGGTAGCTACGGACCCAGACTACAAAATCACTTAGCAAATATTGATGCAGCCCAGCTGTCTTTGGGGCACTGTGCTAGGGCCTTCGGGGGAGATACAGAGATGTGTTCAAAACAGGATGTGTTCTGAGCCTAAAATAAATCATCTAACTAAATTACAACCTGTAATCGTCTTAATAATGTTCCCTAATTTGTTAGTACTTGAAACTCACATAGTACAATTAGGCAGGAGACATGAAATCATCTTGCAGACATTTCTCATTAGCATATTTCACAGGCAGGGAAATCAGACCTCCCCAGCTGACTATATAGACCCAGCAATTGGCATTTTTAGAAGAAATGGCTAATGCTGGGCCAGGGAGTGGCCTGAGATTACATAACCATTTTCTCCAGGGTGCTGTTGGTCGTCTGTTCTAACTATAAAATCTTAATTAAAAACAATTTGCGGAGCAGTTCGGAGAATAGGAAATGTGAATTCCTGCCCTGGCTGGGTAGGTCAGTTGGCTAGAGAATCTTCCAGATACACCAGGGTTTCAGGTTTGATCCCTGGTCCAGTGCATATACAAAAACCAACCAATCACTGCAAGAAGAGGTGGAACCACAGAGCAATGTTTCTCTCTCTCCAGCTAGATGTGAGCAGTGGCTGTGGGCACATTTGTGCAGCCCTCACCCAAATTGCTCCTCTCTTACAGCACTCCTGACACGTCTGGGTTTATTCCACCCGCAGAGAGACACTGGCCTTGAAGTCAGCGGCATTTAGTGCTGACTTGCTTCATGGACTTTAAAAAATATATTTTATTGATTTTTTACAGAGAGGAAGGGAGAAGGATAGAGTTAGAAACATCGATGAGAGAGAATCATCGATCAGCTGCCTCTTGCACACCCCCTACTGGGGATGTGCCTGCAACCACGGTGCATACCCTTGACTGGAATCGAACCTGGGACCTTTCAGTCCGCAGGCCAATGCTCTACCTACTGAGCCAAACTGGTCTCGGCCTGCTTCATGGACTTTAAAGAGTATGATAGTTTAATTCAGATTCCATCGTGTTCATTATAGTTCAGCTATCAAGTTGCTCTATGAAATATACAGAGGTTGGCAAAAGTAGGTCCACAGTTGTGAGCATGTAAAAGAGTTTATTCTTGTGTATTTATTAACTAGAGGCCCGGTGCATGAAATCGTGCTTGGGTATGGTCCATAGGCCTGGCTGGCTACTGAAGCAGGAGCATCTGGTGTGAAAGGGCAGGCCCCAGCTGACCTCTGGGTCCTGGGCAGCACCGAGGCCCCTGGGTCCCCACTCGCCCCCTTCTCCTGAGTCATCGGGCCCCTGCCTGCCTCCGTCAGCACCTGGGAGCTGGGCAGTGACCTGCCCTGCTGCTGCCACTAGTCAAGGTCTGCAGGGTGATCGGCTGGCGATCAGGCCTCACTCGCACCTACCTTGGCCTAGTACTGCCCGCTCACCCACTCCACCATCCCGCCATCAGGTCCCACTCTCATCAGGGCCCACTGCTGCCTGCTGCCAATGCTGCATTGCCAACACCTGCCATGTTCTGTGCTGCCCCCTGGTGGACAGAGTGCGTCATAGTGAGCAGTTGAACTGGTCAAACTCCCTGTCGAATTCTCAGTGAAGGGGACAATTTGCATATTAGGCATTTATTATATAGGATTATTGTTTTATTATATAGAATTTTGCTCACCCTGTACTTTAAAGTAATATGTTTCTATTTTGCCTAAAAGGCAAAACAACAACAAATAACCTAGAAAACAAAACAAAATGAGAAAGTCAAGTGTACTTGATCTTTGAGTGAAAAAATCAAGAGCTGCTATTTCTAAATTTTAACATGAAGATGAAATCTGATTACACCCACCTCAGAACAGGCCAACACATGTTTCCTTCTCAGAGCGAGTGAGTTCCTAGTCTTAACATTAGCTTCACCGTTCCCTGGAGGATTGTGTGTTCATTATATCTCAGTAAAGTCTGGCGGGAAATTCCCCAAAGGGAATTGTGCTTTCTAAAGATAAAGGTGTATATTACAAAGATAAATGGCCTTTTGAGTTTTCAAACATTGTAATTATCTAATAATGATCAGTTTTTAAAAAATCATAAAATGTGAAATTTTGTTCATGTTGAAATTGTTTAACATAATTCTTTATCTTGCTGCTATGCTAAGAATTTCATAAACACTAGAAAGAACAAAAATTACCATTTGATAAGATGTAGATAGGGGATACTTTCTATTGCCTTAAAATTAACTCTTTTGTTAATTTTGTCCAAATCTACTTACAATTATTGTAGATATTTGTAACCTAAATCTGTGAAGTTTCTAAGTTGCTACTTAATAATACATAGATAACTGAAGACTGATACAAAACCTTAAGCCTTATGAAATTAAGATTCTTATTGAAATTGTTATTACTTTCAAATTGATATAATTTCTAGTTTGGCCAGAAGAAATTACACCTGAAACAAACAAACAAAAAAGTCTAGAAAAAAAAAATATATATTCTTTTAATTTCATTGCTCTTACCTTGATATTTTGGAGTGAATCAAGAAGTCATTTTTCCTGCTGAAACACATTAGTCTTTTTTGTTTCTCTGTTAGTTTATGAAGCACTAAAGGAAGCACAAAACAACAAAAAGTAGGTGAGAAAGCAGCACAATGGGAACTGTGACCATTTGCTAAATGAAATGGCCTCTAAGTCTGTCATGCTTCATGCTCTCCTCACCTCCCTGCATTCACCCCCATTCTGTGTGTCCATGCAGAGAATTTCCACTGAAGTTCAAAGTGTTGAGTCAGCTCTACTGAGGTTATAAGAATCCAAAGGAAAGAGAACCTATTGCGTTGGAAAACAATGTGCACACACAGGAAAGAGAAATGAGCAGAACAAGCAAAAGAAACACTGCAGAAACGAATAATAAGTACACAAAGTACACAAGTGTATTTATTACAGTTTGCAAGCACTTTGTTCTACATTTCAAAAACGCCACCATCAAGCTGTTGGCACATGTATGTACAAAACAGATTAATTGTAATGCCTGCTACAAAGCACTCTCTGTGAAAATACAAACTCTAATACCAGGAGAAAAAAAAGGCAAGAGAGTCAACATCATTACATAAGTTTAAAAGACAGTTTTAAAAATCATCACAAACTGTTAAGACACAGAACTGAAACACTACCAAATAGAATTTAAAGAAGCCCATTAATACTTCTGCTGAATATCTGTAATACTGCATATTCCAGGAAAAAATGTTGAATCAGGAAGATAATAAAAAACAGAGAAGCAAACCCCAGATTAATTAAATAATCCTACAGATGCATTATCATGCCACGGAGAACCCTAGTGATATCCCTACATACTACAAGAACTTGTAAAATCATGGGTGATGCATGGCTAGTCATTGTACAAAGATTGTTTCACTCAATAAATGTTATCAGAAATGCACTTACGTTGATAGGAGATTTCACAATGGTCAAATCAGTGCACAATATACTACCTAGGTTTTATACACTGACAAAAATGTCTTGTCAGGCAACATCATTTGAAAAGACACTTCACAGCATTCTTGTAGCGTTAGAAATCATCACGAGTCCAGGCTAAAACAAACAACCCAATTTGGTCTAGTAATACTGATTGCTTTCTTTTTATCCCTTTGCTATAGGTACTTCTTATAAATGAGTGTGAATGAACAGTTGGTTAAAATGACTCACCAGAAAGGAAAACACAAATGTGCCACCACACTTTGGAAGGATACAGTGGCCTCCTACCGTACTCTAAAAAACACTACAGGTAAGCCAACGTAGATCGGGGAGGCTGCAAGCAAAGCTATTATAGTAATGGAAGCCTTTTCAAATATATCATACACGGTTGAGGGGGTAGTTTACAGAGGTGCAACCCACGGAACCTTTCTAAGGTAGGCAACACAACTTCTGGGGGGTGAGTGTGCTTATTTTTCATATGCCACCTTCATGAAGGCAAGTAATGTTCCACATTAGCATATTCAAGTTCCAATCCAGCCACCGCTTACGTCACAGAGAGACCCCTCTCCAAGCAGGTCCACAGTCGTTATTCCCAGGAAAACCATCTCTGTACTAAACTTTAAAAGGTACGCCTGGTGTCACAGTCTCAAAAAGGCAACTAGCCATGCATTAGCATCACTGTTTCTACATGCTCACAACATAAACTTGAAGAATCCAAGGGAAATACCTCTTCCGTACATCGAGAAAAAACACAACGTTAACAAAGATAAGAAGCACTTTTTTTTTAAACCTACTCTTACAAATTTAGAAATTGCACCTTAGATTGTTGAAAACATTAACCAGAGCCTACAGTCATGTGGCCACTGATCTTCAGAAAGATTTCCGTATTTCAAGAAGAGTCATCATGGTGTCATCTCTGTCGGTGGTTGGTAATGTACAATGGTCCCTTTGAAGGTTACCTGTAGTCAAGCTAGTTACCGAAATGAAAACTAAAAAGTATAAAAAGCTACCTTTTCTTTTCAAAACATAAGAAATAATGCCATAGGTGTTATGTATAACAACATGGGAAGTGGTTAAAAACCAAATCTCTGTATTTGACAATGTTAGATTCATTGATCTTAAGAATTATTAAATGATGTTGAGAAATTAAAAAAAAAAGAAAAGGAAAAGGCTGGACAGGAGCTTGTAGAGGAGATCTGATTACACCAATTTAACAGATTCGGAAGTTAAGTGCTAAACAACAAAGAACTATGCTCGGGTGATTCATAAGTCACCCTCCATATCATTGATGAGAAGCACTTTCATTTTATTCTTCGAAAGGTTGATGGTTGGATGGTTGGATGGTTGGATGGCCCTTAGTTAAACACCAATGCCTCTGAGCGGGAGGACGGGGGGGTGGCTTATGTGTACGCATTGAGCCGCTCTTTGGAGCGAGTGGAGTGAATGTCATGCAGCTCTTGCTCCTCCTTGGACTTGATGTCCTCATACTTCTGCATCCTGCAGGCATCTTTCACGTACGCCCAGTTGGCAGACAGAACCATAAGGTAGTGAACCTGATCAAAGACAAAAACAGTTTATATAGGAAGCCTTTTCAGTGTCCTCAGTTCACCTTGCTATAGGGAAAGGAATGTTCAAAATGTATAGTTATGTAAGATGCATTCACTAATAAAATGGACCGAAATTTCTGGGGCAATAGGAACAATATAAATAAAATGCATTCTTGGCTCACTCCTCCAGTGACATGACACCATCTTGACTCTCTTTCTTTCACTCTCTTTTCCTTCCTCTTTTTTTAACTCTGAAATATCCAAGACTGATTCTGAACCTTGATGTGATATTTTCTGTCTATTCTGCCCTCATCCGCCTGAACCACAAGATAATACATTTCATGTCCAGGGATGTATGTTTTCTAACCCATTATTGGAAATAGTTTCATATATACTTTGAGTCAACTTGAATTAATGGGAGAATATACTATTCACTGTGCAAAGGAAAGAGGGATCATGGAAGCCCCCAAATAAATGTGTGCATTTAATTATCGAGTTAAATCCCCATACAGTGAATTTTGCATTTCCCATTTGATTTAAGCTACACAAGAGCAAATATGGTGTCATAGATTTTGTGCGAGACTAGAGCCATGTTTCAAAAGGAAGCTCCTGATTTGTCTCCGACCGTGGTTGGCAAACTGAGGCTCGTGAGCCACATTCATAACTGTGTGTGGCTCTTCCACAAAATATTTCGTGCGAGCGCGCACATACAGTGCGATTGAAACTTCCTGGCCCATGCATAGAAGTTGGTTTTAGGCTTTCAATCGTTGTACTGTTGATATTTGGCTTTGCTGACTAATGAGTTTGCCGACCACTGGTCTGGGATAAGGGAATGACGATCCAGATTTGACTTGGGTTGACTCAGCCATCAGGCCACTTATTTGTTTTCTTTCTTACCCTCCCTCTTGGATCATGGGAGAGATACAGCCATTTTCCAAGCAATGGACTTTGACAGGTAAACAGGAAAGGGAAACCAAGTGGTCAGTTATTTACTTTCTCTAAGTTTGAAGGGTGGGCAATGTTTTCATCTATAACTTAGTAAAATAGAACACTAAAATTTTGATTACTCAAGAATACATTGAAAGGCAGGAGATAGGCTGGTTCTAGGAAAATACAGTTGGACACCAAGAATGAAAATCCATCCAAAATGGTGCCTGCTGTGGTATAGTAAGGTAATTGATTAAGAGGCAGTAAAAAAAAAAAAATAACAAAACAATCTTGACACAACAGTTTAAGGAAACTATGCATCCCCATCAGAGAAAGCTTTTTTCAGAATGTTCTATTGCCTCTGAAATGTTGCATGTTGGTTAATGAAAACTGTAAGCCACATGTAGGCAGGAACTGTGAGTGACATTCTTTTAATTAGTGGCCTATCCACAGTAAAAGGAGAATAAATCTTATTAACAAGATTAGTGTGGTGATTTTGTGTTGCTGTAAACATAACAAGTGCTGCGGAGAGAGTTTGGCAAGCGGTAGGTACTCAAGTACCTGCCATGTGAAAAAATGTTATATTTTCAGATGTTCCCTTTAAAGTCTGGGGAAATATGGCCCCTAAGTTATTATCCAAGATGTACATCTGCATGTTTGAATTTCAATGTCACTCCAGATCAGACGCCAGTGCTTCCCAGTTGGTCTTCAGACGCCTCACCTGGGCTCAGGGACACAGCCTCCAGGCTGGCCACTGCCCCTCTACAGGTGAACATTATTGTGGAAGCTGGTGCAGTGCCAAGTTCACAGTTCTGTGGGCATATGGAGCCTCCTAAGAGCTCCAAAAACTCACACAGTGGAGCACGTGCTAATTTTAGTACATTTTCTAATAATCCGTTCCTTAAGCTACAGATGGGCTAGGGTTAGGCCAGGCTAGGGCTAGCGTTATGGTTTAGGTAAGGGTTAGGGTTAGGGATGATAAGGTCTTTGCTGATTTTTTACTGTCATCCCTCCAATTAGTCAGCTACCATGACCTTATTAAGCAGTTCATATTCTCTAATGGAATTCCTATTAGAGGTTTCTATACTAAAATCTAAAGTGTGGAACAATTAATCCTATATAATAAAGAGCTGGTATGCTAATTAGGCTGGATGGCGGAACAGCCTTCCAGAAAAACTTTCCGGATAATCTTCCATAGAGACCAGTGGGCCAATGATGGAGCTATAGCTGAGGCGACTGGGGCTGTGAGGCAGCAGCTGAGGCGGCTGGGGTTGCAAAGACATATCCTCGCTTGAATTTTGTGCATCACACCTCTAGTATGATATAAAAATAAGAAAATATCTGAAAACTCGCTGTAGCACTGACACAGTTGGTTTTGTTAGATATTTTTAGAAATCTTTTTTAATAAAACAGAATCATATCTTAATACAAGAGTTGCAGTCACTAAAAGTAACTGGTTTGAAATGCTCATTAGCACATTTGCGTTGTCTCATCATTCCTATTTTTAGTCTTTGACCAGAGATAAAATGCTCTTATTTGTCAAAAGGTGTTGCTTCGACCAACACATTAGACAATGCACTGGCACCATAGGAATAGAATTAAATAAACCCAAATCAATTCATCATTTTTGCATCTTAAAATGGCTATTACATAGGTGACGTTTCCAGGAACTTTCTAGATTTCTGTAATATTTGACTGCAGGAGCTCTTATTGATGCTTGGAGCAGTGTTGATCCCCAGCATCCCAGCAAGCAATCTGGAATTCCTGGGGAGTTAAAAACGGGGAGCAGGATTGGCACACAGTAGGTCCAGATCATGTGTTAAGAGCCTGACTTTAAGGACTTGTTAATATTTCTGAAGAAAATTAGATAGAGAACACATTGACGTTAAATTACCGAAATTTATTTTAACAAAATTAATCCCTTTCTCATAAGTGATTCAATAGATTTTTAGTGTTCTTATTTAAGGAGAAAAAAAGGATAATGTGAGTGAAGGAGTGATGATATTATTTAGAACTAGAGGCCTGGTGCATGAAAATTCATGCACTTGGGGGGCTCCCTCAAGCCCGGCCTGTGCCCTCTCACAGTCTGGGACCCCACGGGGGATGTCCACCTGCTGGCTTAGGCTCACTCCCCTGGGGATCAGGCCTAAGCTGGCAGTCAGACATCCCGGGAGCACTTGGGATAGCGGGCCTAGGCTGCAGTCGGACATCTTAGTGCTGCCGAGGAGGAGGGAGAGGCTCCTGCTACTGCCATTGTGCTTGTAGCCAGCCATCAACCCGGCTTGTGGATGAGCAGAACTACCCCTGTGGGAGCGCACCGACTACCAGGGGGCAGCTCTTGCATTGAGCATCTGCCCCCTGGTGGTCAGTGCATGTTATAGTGACTGGTCGTTCCACCATTAGGGTCACTTTACATATTGTTCTTTTATTATGTAGGATAGTGCACTGACACACACATATATGCCACAGAGATAATTTTATGTTAATTGTAATTTGATGTCTACATGCTAATGAATTTGCTTATTTTCGTTAATGTTACCATATCACTGAGTGTTGTAATCCGTATACTGTTTACCAATATTATTTCTGTTGTGATGATAATACTGCTTCAGGCTAAGCCTTTATTAACCTAGTGTTCCCTCACTTTATTTTGGAAGTGATAATAAAATAAATCATTCCTATGAATGTCAGACATTTGAGATAATCATCTCTACAAGCAAATACCTCTAATTCCAATGGAAAAATCATGTCGAGGTCCCTGAGATCTTACCATGGCAATGACCGCTGCCCCCGCGCCAGCCAGCGCCACGATGAACAAGTGGAAGGTCATGTTCAGCTGCGGAGGAAACCATAGAACCAACACATGTGTCAGAGTTTCAAGTGGAAGAGGGGTCAGGTCCAAGGCTTCTAATGAGTAAGAGCTTTGTCATCTTCAACCGGGGTGAGCCTGGAAGAATCCCTTCCTCCAAAAACACCGTTACAGGATCTTTCCTCCTGAAAACCATGTCAACCTTCACAGCAGCATCATGTGATATGATTTCATTATAAAGATGAGGCCATGGTGAATAACAATGGTTTTCAGTAATATAACAATAGAAGGCCATGTTATCTCTTTTTAAGGAAATCTAAAATTTTTCAACTTTCATGAAAATGACAGTTTCTGGAAGAAATTTAAAATAGATATCATTTTTATCAACATGCGCAGAACATGCAACTCATATTTGTTTTCTAGCCCTACCCCCTGCATAATCTTATGGCAAAAAACAAAATGGCCTCTGGAAGAAAAAGGGGAAAATCGAGTGTAGAATTAACTATACACCCTTCAAACCACACAAGGGAGCAAAAATTCCCACCAAATTGAAGGCTGCAAGAATCTCACCTCCGTGGACTCGCACATCCTGAGGAAGTTCTCTGACACAGTGCAGACTTTCTTTTCCTCTCCGATGGTCACAATCCCTAAGACATGTAGACAATGACGGGTTAGCATTGCACAGGTTTTCAAGAGCCCAGAGAGGAAATGAAACTTTTGCAGATAAAATCTAAGCATGGTCCATTTTAGTTTTTTTTTTATGATAGAAACCTCCTTCCTGGGTTTTCGTTGCTGGAGAGTGACTATGAGTAGAGTGGTACGTGGGAGGTCCCACCTCTGCAGCCTTCAGCAAGGCCGAACGTGTTCAGTCTGAATTCACGGGACTAGCACCTGAATCTCAGAAGTGCTGTGGCCAGGGGCTTGGCTCAGTCATTAATGTGAGGCATAGGCATCGCAGCTACAGTGATGGCCACGTCCCAGACCGTCCACAGCCTGGATCTCATATCATTATGTGCACCAAGCTCCTATGAGTCTATAGAAGCACATGGCTCAAAGGAGGACTTCTCTGCTCAGACCAAAAATAGCGCTGTCAGTGAGGGGGGATACAAAGCTGTGATGTCACTCGATTGATCTTGGTCCAGTTGATTTATGGACCAACTGTCTTAGGACCACTTGGGGTAATGATCAAAATTAGGATTGTCCCACTGGTCTGGCTCAGTGGCTGAGCAGATCATCCGCTTTTCACTTGGGTCAGACTGAGGGACCTGAGGACTTGGTCTGACAGATGGGCGTGCTGACAGAACAGTTACACTGCCCCCCCACACATTCTATATACACTATCACCGTGGAGCCACAGGACCCGAGGACACCAACTGGTGAAAGATTCCCGCTTTCCTAACCACAAGGAAACCTCGTTGGAGAATACCATCTACAGCATTCCCAGATGTTAACCATCTATAATGGTCCCAGATATTAACCATCTACAGCATTCCCAAATGTTAACCATCTCAGCATTCCCAAATGTTAATTATCTACAGATTCCCATCTACAGCATTACCAGATGTTAACCCTCTAAGTATTCCCAATGTTAACCATCTATAGCATTCCCAAATGTTAATTATCTACAGCATTCCCAGATGCTAACCAGCTACCGCCTTCCCAGATGTTAACCACCCATAGTGTTCCCAGATGTTAGTAGGTGAGATGTTAATAGTCATTCTGTGAAAAAAGCCCATTTGAATGTGTGGATTTGCATGTCTCTTATAAAACCTATAGCTCCCATGGTTTTACAAATGAAGGAATAAAATTCTGAATAGGGTAGGTGAGATTGGACTTGACTTTTCCACAGGAGAAGCAGTGGACTGAAAATTTGGGACATAGATATTGCAGCCAGCCCGCCAGAATTGCATCCTGCTTGGGCACTTACTAGATGTGCAACCATGGCAAGCCATTTACTCTCCTGTGCCTCAGTTCTGTCATAAGGGATGTAGTAATAGTGTCCCCTACACAGAACTCTTGTGAAAATTAAACAAGTCAATGTATATAAACCATTTAGAATAGGGTCCACACATAATGATCTCATACACACATAAAAAATATTATTGTTACATGAGGTTTCAGCCCTAAATAAAAATAACCAAAGAAGACTTCTGATTCATTTAACATTCTTTGATTTTGTTGTTATTACCACCTGAGTGTAACTAGAAAAGCTTGACAATAAACAGAAACCCCGTAGGGTGAGGTGGAAATAGGCCAGTCCAACAGAGACTCAACCTCAGATTGAAACCTTCTTAACTTTTGATTGGATTAGGGTAAGGTTGGCTAGAGGTCCTAGCCCAGTCTGCTGGAGAGGTGAATTTAAATCCCTCTGAAGGTAAGCTATAAGTAACTGAATATTGCTTTATCTATGACACAGTTTAAATGTAAGAATACAGAAATGTTGAGTATGAATAAAGTGTTTTATATGAAAATTCTAATGAAAAGAAAGCTGGTGTAGCTTTTATAATATCAGTGCCTGCTAATAAAACTGAAACTTATAATAGTGACTTATCAATTATTAAGTCTTTGTTTCCTGCTCTACTAATTAAAAGAATAAACAAAATAAAATATTAAAACACACATTTTTGGGGGAAATGTGACTATTTTGATTTGCAGTATGGGAAATTTAGCTCCTTATAGAATATGATTAGGTGGCTGTTTCCACTTTGAAAGCCTGATGAGTTCTTTATGAAAAAAAATTATAAAACTAAACAAAAATGCTCAGTATCTTCATCCTGTTTCAGAAGACAACAAAGTGCATATTTCTGAGGTGATTTTTGGACTAGACCTCATGACGTGCAGCGGGTCATGGGGCCATGAACACAGGCTGCACCCACTGAGCCCGGGAAAGTGCGAGGAGTCAGGTGGGTGATTCCATATTCACGTTGTGCGATCAATTCCCGCGCCTTCTCAAATGCCCATCCATAATCAAGAGCAATGCCTTAAAAGGGAATGGATACTCTGGTCGCTTCATCCCTTTGGCAGAAGGTGACTGGCAGTATGCCTGAGGCAGTGACTCGGGGAAAACACTGTGAGATGTTGTTCAGAGATGTTCCTACCGAACTGACGCAAGTCGAGGCAGAGATTGGCCCCCTCCATGAGGGTGCTGTTCCGGCAGATGGTCCACAGGTTGAAGTACATGTAGACGGGCAGGGAGGTGAAAGCCGTCACACCCAGCCAGGCCAGCATGAACAGGTAGGTCAGCATGATGAACTGCAACCGAGAAAAGTCCAGAGAGAACAGGTGTCATCCACTGGGAAAGAAGAATTTTTTGCTTACAATGTGCCATGTCAAAGGGTTTCGGTGCTGTCGATACAACACTGGTGAGGGCTGTGGCATGGGAAACAGAAGAGACTCTGAAGGTTCGGAGAATAAACCTACTGGGGAGTCACCTCGGCAGTGGTTGGGATATACAAGGAGTGATCGGCCTGCCTATCAATGCCCAGTTCGTTGGTGCAGTGATCTTATGAATCTGACCACATGTTCTGTGAACTTTGGAAAACATGGAATATTCAGAGTGGATTGTGCAAAATGAGTCACAGATGAATCCTGTTTCAGTCAGAGTACAGCCTTTACCATCACCTATGTGCCTGACCTGATGCTAGCAAGTCATTTGCCAGTTACACACAGAAAACAGGAATGAACAGCAAGACCAAGAGCGAGCTTTTAGGACTACAGTCATATCCGTATTTCAATAACTGATCCACACTTGTCACTGACACAGTGTTCATGGACTGAAGGAATGAGCAAATGTATCACTCAGTTATTGCTCTAACTCTGGTGGTCAGAGGGGAACTCAGTTCCTGCCTGCAGGGAACACCTACCTGTACAGACATCTTCCAGGTAACTCACCTAGCAGTAGGCTCTTTCAGGCTACCATTTGTGTTTTTATGATTGGTGTTTTGTACTTTTCCCCAATAAGAATACAATTTTCTTTCCCTTTCTCCCTCACAACCCAACAACCCTTAACTACATCTTCACAACAAAACTGGGAGTTGGATAAAGATGTGGTTCTGGGTGCAGATGCATGTTTGCCTGCACCAAAAAAATCTGAATTTGCCTCCTGAGAGAGCCACTCTTTGCTTATTGTGTCTCATGAGTAAATTGTGGTATAGTTTCAGATCAGAGTCAGAACACCTGATGACTGGGCACGTGTGAACACAGTATAACTAACTCATAATTTGAAATTTGTATACATAGAAAAATGATGCCCACAGTAAGTCCAGTTAACACCACACATTTACAAAATGTTGTGTGTGCGGTGAGGACCTTTAAGACTTTCTCTCTTGGCAATTTTCAAATATGCAACACAGTATTGTTACCTATGGCATCCCCAGAGCTCATTCTCTATAACTGAAAGTCTGCATGTCTAGACTCCCTTCAACCACTTCCCCTCCCTCCACTCCCAGCATCTGGAAACCACTGGTCTGTTTTCTGGATCTTAAATAAACTAGTCTTATCAGAACATTATGAGGACTTAAAGACATTCTCCTGATCTTTTTGGCCTTATTAATATATATTTTTAGATGAAACTCATTGTGAAATTACATCCACTTCTTCTGTTTGGGAATACAGTTAAAACAAACAACAACTGGGAGAGAGAAGAGAATTCCTGGACTTGAAGTCAGGGACTGGGTTGCCCATATGGGAGCCTGACACATCCTTATCTTCAACATCCTGTCCTCACTCACCAGCTGGGAGTGAGCTGACCTCTGGAGCCGTGATGGAGCAAAAGGAAACTCACCACAGTCCACCATCAATCTAACATCAGAAATAAACTCAAAGGAAGTTGTTTGGCTTGGCAAATTGGTAATTAATCTGTATCTCTAAAGGTCAGGTGCAGACTGAAGTGACCTATTTCCGTCGCATCTGCTTTTCATGGCCTTGATCAACACTGAATTTTAATTTCCAGTAGCTCAGGCCCTGCTTGCAGGGAGGAGGGGAGGATGGGGCCTTGTAGACGTTAGATACATGAAGTGGCATTGCTGGCTTTTTGTATTTCAGCCATTGTTTTATACATCACTCACACTTACTAAGATGCTGACCTTTGCATTCACCAAGAAATAAAACTTAGTAAAATTTCTCTGAGTTGGCTGACCCTAACTCATCGATATTGGGTGGTAAAAACTGCCATAGAGTGATCGAGATTGGGTGCCAGACTCATAATTAATATCCAGCACATCTCATTATCACATCATTGTTTCAGTGCCATTTCATTAGAGCATGCAAATGACTACCACAGGAAGCATCCTGTTATCACACTTCTTCAGCTGTGCCACACATATGTTACACACGTGCTACCACGTGTTAGCATTCAATTCAACAAGATTGCTAGGAGTTATTTCTTCTTACATGACATTTAAAGGAACATGCAATCGCTGTTTTGATCTCCACTTGGACATTGGTTGTTGGAGGTTGAGCAGGAGGTTGGACTGCAGACATGGGAGAGGCCCAGTGTCCCTGCTCTTCGGGAGGAGGCTAGCCTTGATGTTTGCTCCTGGCAGGTGTAGCCACTGAGGTTACAGTGTTTGACCTGAGAGCGACCATGAATGGTCATTGGTTTTTCACCTGAATTCTCATCAATTTAGCCTTGATGTCTAAGACATTCACAGTTTGTTGAGCAGAGACGCACCAGTCAGGCAAAACTCACACCTGAGAAGCTGACGGTGCTGACGAAAAGCAGCAGGTGGTTCTGACCCAAAGGTTCTGAGCTCTGAACCACCTCAACCCCGGGAAACAGGCCCGCAGTGAGCATGCTGCTGTGATGCAGCACACACACTCAGGAGGGAGGCAGACCCGAACTCCGCGGATGTGAGCCAAATGGAGCTCCTGATGCAGGCACAGCCTCTGTGCACTGGACACGCACCACCAGGCTCCATCCAGGCCACGGTCGAGGTGGGCCCGTCTCATGAGCTGTTTCTGACACAGAATATAGAAACAAGTCACTAACTTGGAACTCGGGACCTGTCTCTTCACAGTAACACATTTCAGAATGATAACCCCTCAATGGAAAGGTCTTTAGAGTTATCAGTTCGATTATGCTTCTGCTTTAACAAAGGGAGACCGCTTTGGGTTCCATCACTGACAGAGCGAGCTCAGAGTGTTTCCACCCTGTGACTGAGAAGTCGCATCAGGTAGATGCTAAGCTGAGGGGCACAGTCTCAAAAGAATGTTTTAAAGCTGAGGCCGGCCAACTGAGAAAGTGGCTCACAACTGAGGCACAGGACATGAAGCAGATTGTAGCGTATGCTCCACCTGTGGACCGAAAAGGAAGCAGCAGAAGGGAAATGGGAACGAAAGGAAGGTAAGTAGCAGATGGGAGAGTGGTAAAGCATTCATTTTCCCCCTTTGATTTCCCGGAGTCACACATCCAGCACGATGAGCCAGCTGGGCATGTAGTGAGGAAAGGGGTGCAGGGCATGTGGTGGGGAGAGGGGTGCCCGGCTCTGCATGTGGCATGGTTGGACAGCCAGGCCTCCCTGCTGGGATGCAGAGGCCTCCCTACTGAGCTGCTGGCCCGAAGAAGGAGCTCAGCTTCTTTGGGAAGGAGGGAGGTGGAAGGTTGAGCCAGAGGTGGGGGTGCCTCTGGAGGAGCCCATGAAATGGCTGCCATCCTTCCAGTCTGTTGGGAAGAACTGGTGACACAATTGTGACTATTACCGAAAAAAAAGTGGCTTGTATGTTTGCTTCAAACACTCGTATTCGAGAGGGCTTTGAGCTGTCTGCACGGGAGCAGATCATTAACCGTCCACAGATGTGTTTTCTCTTCTATGACTTCTACGCCGCATGCAGTGCCATGCAGTCACCTGACCGTTCTCATGAAACCCCCAGTGCTGACTCCCCCTGCCAAGGTGGCTCCTGGGGGGTGAAATCTGCCTGGGGACCCCCTCTCTGTCTTTTCACAGGTGCTTTGGAATCATGGGCCCTGAGCTGCAGGGAAAATTAGAGATAACCCACCGTCTCATTTGTAAATGAGTGAACCATGAACCAGAGGAGCTGAGGGGCTTACTGAGGCACACAGATGTGTCACAATGAATGTAACCTAGAATGGCGGTCACCAGAGGGAAAGAGGGTGGGGGAGGATGCAGAGGGAAAGGGGGTCATATACATGGTGACAGAAGGAGACTTGACTTTGGGTGGTGAGCACAAGATGCAACAATATACAGATGATGGATTATAGAGTTGTACATGTGAAACGTATTTGTTATTAGCCAATGTCACCCCAATACATTTAAGAAAAAAATACTTAAAAATGAGTAATATTATGTCACCCCACTACATTTAAGAAAAAAATACTTAAAAATGAGTAATTTTGTCCCAGTGATAAGAGAAAGCCTATCATTAATTGACTTCAATATCCTCTATTGGCAGTATATAAATGGATCTAAAATCAGATCTGGCTTCTTAATAGAGAAATCACTTAGTTCTTGTTGAAAGTTGGCCCAGTGAATAGCCATATTTTATTTTTTTAAAAATTAATCCAAGACCTTTCACTTAACATCCTCCAGAGCTGTAACTTGATATTACTGATCCTAAAAACTTAGATATTGCAATAAGCATTGCCCCCCCGCCCTCCAAAGGGTCTTACAAGAAATCATTCCAGAGACAACCCAGAAACTCATGCCACAGGCTAACGTATCAGGTTCTTATCGCCACTGAGAGGAGCAGCATGACAAAACTTGTTACAAGCTGGGGGAAAGCTTGTGGTTAACAGGCTTTTGAAAAAGCTTTTTGTGATTGAAATAAATTGTATCATTCCTTATTAGAGATATCTTATTTGATATGAAATATGTGCTGAAATTAAATTCCTGTTCTTATATGACATTGGAAAAGAAGAAAACATATTAGTCAAGGATGGCAGCTCTGATGTGTCATTACAGGGAAACCCTGATGCATGAAGATGCAGAAGTTCACACATCTGCATCACCCCTCACTGTCGCCCCCTTGTGCTTTAATGGAGTTACATGCACTGGCTGTGTCAGCTCTAGGGTAACACGCGCTGGCTTACCACTAGCCATCATACCAATAGGCTTTAAAGCTAAATTAGTGTGACAGCATAATTCTTACCTCATATCATGATTAAATAGGCATTAGATTATACAATTACCCCCAAATTTAAGGTACAGAGACCTTATTTAAGGGGAAGAGACCCAAGTATTATCTATAAATTGCAGATGGATTTTTCTGTTATTGGAATTTCTAAATATTATATTGAAATATCAAAGCCCTTTTGGGGAAAAAGAATCATAAATCAATTGATAGTTTTGCTGCCTCCAAAATAAAACCAGTTGTGTTGTGTGTGTGTGTGATTTGAGAATTTGAAACTGAATTTTCACATGGAATAATCATAATTTAGAACATAATATTCTAAGAGTTAAGATAGTGATTAAAGGAGGGAATGTTACTATATTGAAAAAAAATAATTGAGCCTGGCTGTCGTGGCTCAGTGGTTGAGCATCAACCTATGAACCAGGAGGTCATGATTTGATTGCCGGTCAGGGAACATGCCCAGGTTACACTCCATCCCCCGTGTGGGGTGTGCAGGAGGCAGCCAATCCATGATTCTCATCATTGATGTTTCTCTCTTTCTCTCTCTAAAATCAATTTTATATATATATTTAAAAATATTTTTTTATTGATTTTTTTACAGAGAGAAGAAAGGGAGAGAGATAGAGAGCTAGAAACATCGATGAGAGAGAAACACCGATCAGCTGCCTCCTGCACACTCCCTACGGAGGATGTGCCCACAACCAAGGTACACGCCCTTGACCGAAATTGAACTTGGAACCCTTCAGTCTGAAGGTCAACACTCTATCCATTGAGCCAAACCGGTCAGGGCAATAAAAATATATTTTAAAAAATCTTCTTAAAAATATATTTTAAAAATGAAAAATACTTGAATTTCTGGCAGGGGAGGACAAGCACCGCGTGCACAGGGATGCACTCATGCAGCGCTGAGGGGCAGGCGGCATACCCAGGCGCTGACGCAGCGGCCGCAGGTGGTGATCTTGAAGTCCCCGTACAGGTCCTTGATGGCGCCCGTGGTGAAGAAGCCCTCCACCATCAGCAGGATGCCGTACACGAAGAAGGCGGCCGCAATGCCGTAGATCACGTACTTGAAGATGTCGATCCTGGGGGGAGACAGGGGCCGTCAGCACCTCCGCACGGCTGGCCGGCAGCCAGGACCCCGCTCAGCCTCCTCCGGGATGGAAGCTAAGGGCGTTGCTGTTCACCACGGAAGCTGCCTTTGGGCTCCCCGGGCCCCCCGTTTGTGTGTCCACTCTGACCTGCCACCCGGGGATCTGTGCACTGGGCTGGCCACGTCTAAGTGTCTTCCTCTTCCCTCCCCCTGCCCTTCCCCGGCCCACGCCAGGCTGGTCTGGGTGAAGTTTGCTTTGATGTGTCATTACAGGGAAACTATGCTGCATGAAGATGCAAAAGTTCCCGCACCCTCACCACCCTTCACTGCCGCCCTCTTGTGCGTTCATGGAGGTATAGGCACTGGCTGTGTCAGCTCTCAGGTACCACACGTTGGCTTACCTAGCCCTAGCCATCACACCAGTAATCTTCGGCTGAGAGGCAAGGTCATCAGCATGTGAGGCCTCTAATTATGACGAAATGTCAAATTGAAAGACTTACACATCTGTCACCGAGTTTTAGAAACTTACATGAAGAGAGGAACAGAGCTTTATGGTTAATGATACACTCCTTTTTGAGAAAGTTACCACCTCATATTTTTGTTATTGGTAAGAGTCGGTTGTGGTTGTATTTTGTCACACTTACTGGAAACCATCCCTCGCATTGTCTGCTGCTGATAGTATCACTCATAAAAACAGTTTCAGAGAGAAGTTGTGATTTTGATGAGCAGAATCACTAACAGATACTACATGGAATTGGGAAGCCTTTTAGGCAGAATCACTAACAGAGATTACATGGAATTGGGCCTGAGTCAAGTGAGAGCCTAATTCCATAAGTAGGTATTCCTTCTTTTCTCACAATTGAGTGCCCATGTACTTAAGAGAGAGAGAGACACGTGTATTTCCTGTAAATTACAGATGGATTTTTCTGTTATTCAAAATATTGTATGGGAACCCCAAAGCCCTTTTGAAGAAAAATCACAAAGTAATCGTCTTGCTGCCTCTAGAAGCAAGCTAGCTGTGCGGCCCTGGTACATGGAGAGGCATGCATGCTAGCGAGCGCTCTCTTCCTGCAGCCGGGAGAGCCGTGTGGGAGCAGGGCTCCATTTCACACTGTCTTGCACCATTGGTGCCTCTCCACATTAGTTAGATCCAGTGGCTGGCAAACTCATCAGTCAACAGAGCAGCAAACTGCAGCTCGAGAGCCGCATGTGGCTCTCAAGCCGCAGTTTGCCAACCACTGAGTTAGAGTGAGTGGAGCAGGCAGGTGGCAGCAATGATGAGAAAGCCTGTTCAGTGTCTACAAGGAGAGAGGTAAGGGCATAGAAGTTTAGTTCATGCTCATGGAGATTTGCAAACTCTGGATGCTAACACAATATTTTAAAAAATTTGTTGTTAGAAGTATGACAGATGTCCTCCATTGACCCCTTCCATTTGTCCCCTCCCCCTCCTCAGCCTTCGCAATATTTTTTAAAGAACAGCATAAGTGAATTTGTGGAGTATAAAAAAGATCAAGAAGCGCTTGCTAACATTCAATGTACTGGAGAGATTGTTAAGTGGCTGCTTTCCACAGTTTGAAAATCTAAATATTGTCACAATTGTGTTTGTCAAGGGCAATGAGGCAGATGATGGGAACTGCGTCAGCTCCTCACACGTGTCAGAGAATCTGAGGATTCTCTGACAGACCTTTCACAGACACTCTGGAAAGCTTGGTGAAATGGGCTTTCCCGTAAAATGTCCAGGCTAAAGTGACATTTAATAATAGATTTTAGTTTGTATTTGAGAATAATTTCAAATCTATTGAAAAGTTGCAGAAAATGAATAGTATAAAGAAAAATTGTACATCTATTTTGTAACATTTTATCTTACTGCATTATTTTCTTTCTCTCTCTGGAAAATTATAACTGAACATAGAGAAATGCTCCATAGTACAGCTAACTATTTCAGGAAATATATTATTGACATAACCACACACACAACCTAACACAGACACACAGCCTCAACACACACAACTTCCACACATACAACCTCATGCAACCACACACACAACCTCACACATACAACTTCACAGTCACTCACACAACTTCTCACAACCACACACACTTCACACATAATCACATACACAACCTTACACATACTACCACACACACAACCTCACCACATAATCTTCTACTGATTGTTTTTATTTTAACCTATAAGTCATGTTTTCTAATACTTTCTTGAGAAACAGGAATAGATGATTGTTCTCATATGTATGTAAATATCATAACCCCAAGCCCAGAATCTTACTCAACGGGTGTCCCCAGTAAAGTCAGGAACAAGGAAGTGAAGGACAGTATCTGCTTCCATGTAAAGCTGTTCTGGGTGTATCTGCCAATTCACATGGATCAGGGAAAGTAATCCCTGCCAAAGAATTGGAAGAGAACAACAAAACTACCTCTATTTACAAATGATAGATGCTGCACCTGGAAAGCTGTAGAGAATCAATGATAAAACTAATTCAAATAATAAAAGAACCCACCAGGGTAGTATGATATAAAAATTTCATGCAAAAATCAATAGCATTTGTGTAGACAAATCATACCCAGTTAGAAGATTTGCTGGTAGAGGAAAACTGGAATTTCCTCTGGAAGTGGGATTGCTGGGTCACATGACAGTTCCTCACTTTGAGGAACTCCCATGCTGCTTTCCATACCAGCTGCAACAGCGCACATTCCCAGCAACAGAGCACAAGTGTCCCAAGTCCCCCATATAGTTCCCAACACTTGTTATTTTTTGAGGGCGGGGCTGTTGTTTTCTGATTTTTATATAATGACTATTCTAACTGCTGTGAGGTGGTATCTCACTGTGGTTTTGATGTACATTTGCTTGATGATGAATGATGTTGAGCAGTTTTTCATGCACCTGTTTGCCACTTATCTGACTTCTTTGGAGAAATGTCTACTTAAGACCTTTGCCCATTTGTAAGTCTGGTAATTTGTTTGTTTGTTTTGCTATTGAGTGACAGGAGTTCCTTATATGTTTTGATTATTAATCTCTTATTGGACACGTGGTTTGCAAATATATTCTCTCACTCTGCGGGTTGCCTTTCACGCTGCTGTGGTCTTTGCTGCACAGAAACTTCCAAGTATGATGTAGTCCCATGTGTCTGTTCTTGCTTTTGCCACATATCCAAGAAATCATCCCTCATACTGATCTTATGAAGTTCTTCCTCTCTGTTTTCTTCTAGGAATTTTATAGTTTAAGGTCTTACATTTCATTCTATAAACATTTTGAGTTGATTTTTATGAATGATGTAAGATGGGGGCCACTTTCATTCTTTAGCAAGTGAATATCCATTTTCCTCAAATTCCTTTGCTGAAGATACCATCTTTGCTGCATGTGTCATCATTTTGACAATTTGTTGAAAATCATTTCATTGTGCATGCAAGGGTTTACTTCTGGGCTCTCATCACCAGCTTTGTCTGAACACCTTCATAGGGGCAGCCCTAAACTCTTTAGAAAACTCTGACCCTTGGAAAGTTCTTTATAACAAGCCAAACAACAATTTCCCTATAAATTTGAGCTCATTGGCCCAAACCTCTCTCTGACCCACTAAGAACAAAGCAAGTTTCTTTTCTACCTGATAATCTTAATATTATTTTAATATTAAACCATCATATTTGCACCTATTTTTTTCTAAAGTTGCTGTATTCCTGGCTATTATCAAAGGAAATAAAAATTAGATCTCTGAATTCTTATTCAGCTTGAAACCTACTCAGGTATGTACCTAAAAAATCTACTCTAGTTAAAACCTAAGTTCATAGACTCATTACATGAATAGGTTGGCTCCACTGAGGTCCAGAGACCAACAGACTTTAGGAAGCATGATGGTGGCCATTCAAGTTGTGATACAGCTTCAGGGAAGACATCACCATCCTGATAGCCATGACTACCACCATTATGATAGCCACTAGAGGCCTGGTGCACAAAATTTGTGCGGGGAAGGTGTCCCTCAGCCCGGCCTGCACCCTCTCCAATCTGGGACCCCTTGTGGGATGTCTGACTGATAGTTTAGGCCCAATCCCACTGGCAATCCCTCTCATAATCTGGGACCACTGGCTCCCAACTGCTTGCCTGCCTGCCTGCCTTGATTGCCCCCAACTACCCTCCCCTGACAGCCTGATCGCCCCCTAACTGCTTGCTCCCCTGCTGGCCTGATCATTCCTATCTGCCTCTGACTTGGCCCCCACCAATGTGGCTTTGTCCACAAGGAAGTTGGATGTCTGGAAGATGTCTGGTCAACCCAGTATAATTAGCATATGACCCTTTTATTAGTATAGATGGTCACCACCATTATGATATCCATGGTCACCACCATTATCACCAACATGTTCATCAAATGTTAGTGCTTATAATGTGTGAACCATGTTACAATCATTTTAAAATGCCAACCTTAGGAATAGGCAGCATCAGTGAGTCCTTTTTACTGGTGAGGGAGTGGGCAGGCAGGGTAAGTAACGTGTCCAAGGTGAGGCATGTAGAAAGGAACAGAGACACAAGAAACAAACCCGGGGAGTTTGGCCCCAGAATCAGCACATACTCTGTTGTCTCTCTGTCTCAATTCCTCATGGTTGTGTACTGGTTTGGTGGTTGTTGCTGTTTTATATTAGTGGGTTTTTTTTTTAAGACACTCATTTCAGAACTACCAGTCTGGCTGAAATATTGCCCAAGGAGATGCTCAATGTTTATTTTACCAGAAGTCAGGAATTCAGTACAGTTTTCTAACTGAAGTTCTAGCTACAACTGAAATTAGTTTTGACTCTCCACAACTAATTAATAATCTCACATCAATTCTAATCTGTCTGATCCATTAACTTCTTATAAATAGAAGAGTTCAGCCAGTTGGTGTCATTATCAACCCCCTGGGTCAGAACAGATGGTTTGTGCATTGCTGTGCTTTCCATGAGTCTATGAAACCTGGTTTTATCATGCCATGAATTTATTCCTGCTTTCCTTTCCTTCTCACTCCCATCCATTAACTCTCTGATAACAGTTTCCCATTTCATTAACACCCAAGGAATAAACATGAACAACAAGCAAAGATTTATACACTCATTACATTAGTTGAGAGCAAAATCAGTATATCTATTTTATGAGCTTACTGCTTGCGTTTGCTTTAGGTTAGGCAAACAGGAACTAATTTTTATGTGTGCATTAAATATCAAAGAATTCACTACCAAGTAAGCTCAGTTTTTAATGCATTGACCTCAAGTGACAGTCATAACATTTTGAAAATGAAATATAGTCCCTCTGGAAATCAGTAGTACCAGTATAATCTGTCAAGACTCCGATACAATCCCTGTCTAATACATTTTAGGGGGAAGGGTTGTGTACCCATCAATAAGGCTCTCCCTAGCTCAGTCCTCAGGGAAGTTATTCAGGAAGCCAAGTCACTGAGCCAAGTTGGTATCTAATTTTCTAGCCAGTTTCCACATTTCATTGTCCTATATGTAGATCTGTTTTGCAAAAGTAATACCTACTGTACATACTTGCTCACTTGGTCAAGAGACCCGGAGGGAGCACAGTGATCACACCTTGTCAGGGGGGCTTGCCGATGACAAAGTCTGAATCACAAACCAGAAAACAGGCCTCCTTGCCTAGTTGGATGTGGCATAGCTTTGAGCTCTATCCCGTGCTGGGAGGCCTAACCGGCTAAGTGGGACAATAGAAGTTGTACTTGGAGTGTGGGAATAATTCCCCAATGGGAACAGTGGGTGAAATTACACACTCATTGCCACAGCCATTTGGAGCCAGCAAATGACCATGGACTTGCCATACTACACCGACAGATTAAGGGAGGAAAAGCTTCTGGGAAACAAGTAAATGAGGAGAGCAGAGTTAGTTTTAAATACATTGAGAAGTTCACTCTTTCCGTTTTTAGAGAGTCTCCAAGCCACAAGTAGCATTTGACAAAATGATTAATGGGTGTTGTCAGCAAAGACTAGAAGGTACATTTTAGATTTCAGATCACCATCCATTGGTGAAGGCTAATGGTATTTAGAATGTTATGTCTAAAATGGAGATTACATGAGAATGGAGGTGATTTGTAATTCATTCATGAGAAGATTTGGATGCTAGACAGATGGCTAGTGAAAAGGAAGAGTCAGATTTCAGTGTGCTAGTCCTTCATGATTGCCATAGACAATGATCACTTTGAGATGTATGTATGTGTGTCCGAGGAGGAAGACAGGGGTCTGGGACAATTGGTTTTATCTTTGGGTTCATACACCCAGTAAACAGGCTTCTTTCCCTTTATAAGCATATGGGGTAGAAGTGCTCAATTTGACTGAATCAAGCGTAAGAACGATGGAGAAAAAGAAATGAATTCCGTAAATCATTAAGGCTGGCCAACAAGTCTTTTTTGCACAATCATTCTCTTACTCATTATTTCCAAACCTTCCTTAGCTTATTTCCAAGTGTTTTGCCTGCAATCAGCTTTAACTTACCTCTGCTCTATATTCCCTATTTCACTTATGTGTCTTATCTATTCTGATGGCTGATATCTCTGTAATGCAGCCCCACCTGGGGTAATCTCTACTTTGTCTAAACCTTATGAAATCTTTGAATGTATCCATTGGTACTAGTTGTACTAAGTAGTTAATGGTGTGTTATCTTCTCTCTGTGTTTTCACGACCTGTTTGTTGACAGAATCTCAATTCATTTGGTAGCATCACAGGGTCTGGTATAGGAATTTTGGTTATTTGAAGTCTGACAGGAGAGATCATTTGAGCCCTTGCTTTTATTCCTATCAAAATGGTATTCTTTCCATTCCAACCATGCATTATTGGTTTTGCATTTCACTTTCAATCTAAGAGACCAGCTTTTGGTAAAAGTGCTAAATTAAGCATGGTCTCTGACTTCTCTTCTGAACTCCTACACATGTGACTCTCTCAGAGCTTTAGCAGAGCTCTGTGGCATGTTAAATTTTACTCTATAAATGTCAAATAAATATCTTGACAATTGGTTTCTGATAAATGTATACAACCATCTCATGACATTTATTGGGCTTGTATTTCTTTAAATTATCTATCCCCAAACTAAAGTTAGCAATTTGAATGTGGTCTAAATACAGAGAATCTTGAGATTTTAAGGACATCTGTGGTAGCTTAAAATAATGCACAGTGAAAATATATTTTGTCCAGTGTAGGCTGAAATAAAAATGAAAAGGAAAATGTCAGTTTTATCACATTAAAATATATCCATGCAATCATTTTCTTAAGGTTCTATAAAACAAACTTGCAACAATCCAAATAATTTTCAATAGTTTAATTATATTTCAAATAATGAAGATCATTTATAAATTCTTAAGGATCAATTCATGCTATATAGCCAATATAATGGAAATTGATAAGTTTTCTACTGTGGGCTTAAAGAAATAAATTTAATGGATAATGCTAATTTTTCAGAACTACCATTTCCTTTTCTCTGTGACATAGAGAAACTTTAAATTGATACTTCAGAGTTAGGGAATATGTTTTTATTTCCTATTTTATATGTCTGCTAAATTCCAATTTTAAAAAAAAATCTTCATTGTTGAAAGTATTACATATGTCTCCCCCCCCCACCATTGATCTCTCCCAACTTACCCTTGCCCCCCATCCCAGGCCTTCAGCCCCCTATACAATTGCTAAAATTTCAAATCAGCCTAAGTGCCCATCAACAGATGAGTGGATTAAAAAACTGTGGTATCTACACAATGGGATACTTCACAACTATAAAAAAGAAATAACTCATACAATTTGCAACAGCATGGATAGACCTGGAGATCATTATGCTAAGTGAAATAAGCCAGTGAGAGAAAGGTAAGTATCACATGATCTCACTCATATGTGGAATCTAATGTACAAAATTAACTGATGAAGAAAAATAGATCCAGAGACAGAGAAGCATTGAATTAAACCATTAAACCTCAGTAGGAAAGCAGGGGTGAATGGGTGGGTGGAAAGAGATAAATAATGAATTTGCTTGCATATGCATAACCAATGAACATGGGAATATGTTTTTAAATAAATCTAGTCTTTAAGTAAGTGGCTAATCACTCCTTCCTCCTCTTAATCACTCTGTGTGTGTGTGTGTGTGTGTGTGTTGTGTATGGTAGTTGGAGGTGGTCTCCAACTTTTAAGTACCAGTATATTTTAGATAAACACAAATATTTCAACTTCCCTTTCCCTAAAATATTTGCTACCACTCAGGGTACCTGCTCTCCACCCACCAGTAGGGAATTCTTGCCCTGTGACTTGATAGTAATATGCATCTCCTGTTCTCTTTTTATGGAAATAAGCAACTTTAAGAAATAAAGTTACAAGTATAACTTATGAGCAATACTATGCTCAAGACAATCTATGTATCTGTAGCTGATGGGTTACTTATGAGCAATACTTTGCTCAAGACAATCTATGTATCTGTAGCTGATGGGTTATTTAAAAAATTAGCAATGTTATATTTTCTGAAATTGGGGTTGGAGAAAAGTTATCTTCTAGTTAGAAAGTTGTCCAGCTTGCCCAAGTGTTGTCTTAGACTAGAGTCTGAGGTGATAATTATACCTGGCTAGTAGGAACTGCCCAGGTCAATAAGAATGTGATTAATCTCTTTTTGATAGAGTTATATAAGTCAAAAGCAAAATCACCCTACCAGCCACATAACCACCAAGACTTGTAACTCTAAAAGCATCTCATTCCAGAAAGATTATACATATTAAGGAGGTTCTAATTTATTTAGAATGGCAAAATAAAGCAATGTTAACAGCACAGTCTCAAAAAGCATGAACTAAATGCAAGAAGTTGTGGGGCAAGAAATCACCAAATGAATTTCTGAACTGAGAATTGACTAGAAAGTAAGTTCTCCTATAGTTCAGTTCTAAACATTTGCTCCATATAATGTTAGGCAGCCAGGGACTGAAGCCTGAACAACAAACTCTTTTCTACCTTCAGATTATGCTTGCATTCTCTTTTTCAACAACACTAACATCCCCATAATTTAGAGGCCCCAGGAGTTTACATGCTGTGGGTAAAGTGTACATTTGAAGAGGAATTGGTGCCAGTGAAAGGGGCTCATTGTGTCTTATGATTTGTCTTTTTGCAGAAGTCAATAAGGACCTTTCACTATGTTTTCTTAGTAGTCACCTCAATCCTGTGGTATAGGAAAAAAGAGATGATAGAACACCCATGGTTGAGTACCCAGCAAGTTTGGGTGACTTTTCCTAGAGTCAGGAGCAGAGTTTCCATTTCTACCAGGCCCTGTGCTCCATCTTGTTTTCCACCCTATTAGCAAAGCCTCTGCTCAGATGACAAGAGTAACAGAAACTAGGGCAATCCACTTCATAGTAACCGGATTTTGGGCAAAGCATTACAGTCAAGGAACACACACATCAAGTCCAAATTAAGTTGGGCTCTGATCTTCTGCTCTGCAGCCTGTGCTCGTGGTCAGGGTCAATGTCCTTTTGACTTGTGTACATAACCTAAGAGGATTCCGTTCCTCTATATAACATTGCCTCACTGAACCCTAGAGGCCATGCATTTCACACACACGGCAATGTGCACATAGACTCTGGAAACGAGAAGTCTCACAGAGCGACCTACATGGTGAAGACATCCAGGGTGTCTCCGGCAGTCCTCGCCATCTCGAAGTAGGTCTGCAGGATGGTGACAGTCCCAGAAAGCGCCTCATGGCCGCAGCCACAGAACAGCGCCACGCCCGCATACAGCAGGATGGTGGCGATCAGGGAGGCATAGGGAATGCCTCCCAGGCATTTAATACAGCACTCGAAGCACCCTGCACAAGGAAACAGGAAAAAAAGGCATAAATTAATATTTTTGTTCATCTAATTTATTTCCCCCCCAATTTCAGCATTATGGGAAAGTATATTTGCGTTTGTAGATGACACCAGGTCAACCCTGTCCATCAAGTCCTAGGTTGCCCTGAAGGGTATAAAATATCAAGTTCTTTAATTATGAACCTTCCTCCAGACAAGAGAATGATGGCGTCTGCCGATGGCTTCCTCCTCTAACCCAAACGAACGGAAGCCCTTCCCTGCCACCCAGACATCCGCTAACAATGAATCTACACAGACAGGCACGCACGCCATTCCATCTCGACTCATTGCTCTCCAGTTTCATACGCTGAAGCTCTTATTTCAATGAAATTCGTTCTTCTGAACTCCCTATAGATGTATTTTTTTTTAAAACATTGAGTCAAAATCTGTTATTTGGGAACCCAACCCAATTGAGTGAACGTTAGCCAGCAATTTTTAAACGTGGAAGAGCAGACTAGACAATGCCAGTGTCCTGCACGTGGTAAGGCAAATTATTTTAGATCCCTCTTCAGTTCAGATATTGATGTATGTTGCTTTTCTAGTGACTCATAATGCAAATCTGTTTCTTGCTGTGCTGCATGATAAACAAAATGAGAAAGGCATTGACACAGTGGGAAAGAGAGAGCAGGGCAGGTTAGCATTCTGGTCCACCACTGTGTGTGTTTTTGGCAAGCTTATTCTTTCAATGTCGCCATTTGCAAAAAGGTGACAGTAAGATTGCCCTCAAATGATTTTTGTGAGCATTAAATGACAGAAGAGCAGTGCATGATAGAGGAGCTATTCAGTAAATGTCTACTTTAAATGAATATTAACTATTACTGTGCTGCAATTCAGTTTTCATAAATTTTTTTGACCACAGTGATCACTTTTGAAGTTTTGTCACTTTAGCCTTGATTTTCAAAAGATACCTCTAAACATTTAGCTTGAGAAATCAAAAACCATGTTGTTACTATTCAAATTAAGCACCAGAATTTTCTAGGTGACATATGGATATCTTCTTCCAAAATCTGGCTAGAAAGTCTCTATGTTTTGCAATAAGAACTGCTGATGAGCTATATACTGTGTGCCGGCCACTGGTGAGAGGTCACAGTTAGGTAAGAGGGCTGACAGGCTACAAGGAGGAGGGCTTGTCTCACCTTGGGCCACCTCTGTCCCCTACTCCTTCCCCCGACACCTCCTACTCCAAAAGCTTCCTCCTACTCCTTCAGGAAATCTTTGATTGAATTTTTTTCCTGGAATGTTGAAGCCCCTCAAAAACTCTCCACATAACTGCCTTTTTCTTTCCTCAGAATCAAATAGGACTGGAAAATGCATTGAAGATCTGTGTGCATTTTATCTGGAACACCTATATGTTTGCAGCAACATGTGACACATGCAATGATTGCAAAGTTCCAGTGGGCAGTAACTTCATATTCAGAGGGTTATTTAAATACTGACTGGCTGAACTGGCTTTCTTAAGAGAATTACAGCTCATCTCATCTGCTCCAGAGGAGATTAAAAAAGAAAGGAAGCCAGAACACCTCCCTGCTTCCATAGCTTTTGCTTGTACAGGAAAAATCATTTCCTGAACACTCCTCCCCCAACACACACACACACACACACACACACACACACACACACACCCCAGGTGGGGAAGTAGGAAAGGTTAGAACAGCTTGACTCTTCATACGATAGGAGGAAATATCTCCAGCAGATGGAGGAGACCAGTGTGTGTAGTATCTGAATGTCATTGAACACAGTTGTGGATAGAGATAAACAGAGTAGAGGAAAAATCTTTGAACTATTCTCAGTCTCACCATGGTATAAAATTGACATCTACCTGATCATTTAAAAATTAAAAATTAAAATAAATAAAATTAGTGCCAACTCAAAGAAGAGTTACTCCTAATTTTGGCAAATGCCTCAAACAGTCCCATGATCTCAAATCCCATTACTTTGTGATTTCTTTCCCTGATTATTCTCAAAGAATTTGATACAGATTTGTGAGATTGATTCTACAGGCATGGAGGTGTCAAGGCCAGAATAACAAGTTCAACAAAACCCTTTAGAATGGAATTTCACATATAAAGAAAAGGGTCCAAACATCAAATTCCTAGATAGGAACTACCTTTGCTGAGTCCTAGACCTAAAGTATATAACAATAAAGATAAAATCAGGAGGAGTTGGGCTTAGGAGCAAATGATGTGGTAAACTCACAGATGATCACCAAAACTGCCACGGATGACATCTGGTTCATTACATTACTAGTTCAGAGTTAGTTTCTACTCATTTCACATTTTCCTGATTGAGGTTTAGATGGACCAATACTAGCCTTCATGCCAGCAAGTTATGCCTAGTTACCTAGACTATATATTCCTAGTGTGTGTGTGTGTGTGTGTGTGTGTGTACACACGTATGTGTGCTATTAGTTTCACAGTCATTAATTATGGCTTTAATTGAAGTGACTTTTAAATTTAGAAAAACATGAGATAAATTGCAATGCTGAGTAACCAACCCTACATTGACAACCCTGAGTTAACAGGCATTTCCAAATGAGTTTAAGATCTCCAAATTAAATGGAAATCTTTCTTTTATTCCCTCTTTAAATGCTGCCATTTAAATTGCTCAGAATTATATTACCCCTATTGACAAATACACATTCCTCTAAACCTCCATTCCTTCCAGGTCAGGCTGGGACCTTTCAGTTACTATAATAGTAAGTCCTGGTCCTCTGCAAAGCTGCCACTCACAGTAAGAAACTCTGAGCACCTCATCTTGCACAGTTTGCACTTGTGATGGACTAATTGCCCTGAGCTTCTGCAGGGCCCGAGCTGCCTGTTGGGTGGAAACGAAGACTCAGAGCTTCCATCTGGGAAGCAGTGCGTCATCTCAGCATTTTCTCCAGCTGCCAGAGCCCACGTAGTGGCTGGCAGGGGAGGGAGCTTCCTCCCGCCCACAGTGAGGAACAGCCTTGGCAGAGCCGCAGCGTTGCCATAGCAACCAGGCTCCTGGGCCCAGGATATGCTCCCAGCCCTCCTTCGTGGAGGCTGTGGATTCTGCTGCCAACCATCACCACATTGTCGCTGCACCTCAGGTGAGAAACCAGCCTGTTAAATCAACACCCTGAGAGCGTCCTGAGTGGGGTGTGGGCACTGGAAGGAAACACCTTTCTTCAGAAATTGTGAAGCCAATAGACAGTCCTTTGCACCAGAACCATTTTCAGGACCAGATACAATGAGAATAGGGCCCATTGATTCTTGAATAGAGCTGATGGTCCAAATGTTGAACAGGGAATTTACCTGGGGCTAGAACTGCCTGTAACACACAAAGGAGCATTCCTCAGATCCAGTTCCTGGTTGCATTTTCTCCAATGAATGAACACTAAATTAAAGGGTCTGAAACATTAGCATTTGCCCAAAGCTTTGTAGGGTTATAGGTTGACTTATTCCAACACAAAAATTTCAAAGGAAATTAAAAACTCTTGAGCTAGCCTCTTTTTTTTTTTTTTTTTTTTTTTTTTTGATGAGCTACATGGTTAATTTACTTCCACTTAAACACTGTGAAATAAGCACAGGCCACTGCATTTGCTCACCCCACAGAGGCTCCACAATAAAGAATGGGAAAGGAATCTAACCCAACAGAATGGGCATGGGAGAGAGACAGCTGAGAACACAGACCAACACAATGGTGGCCCATCAAAAGGAGGTTGACAAAGGAGATTGCTAAGAGACTAGCAGTTTATTCATTGACAAATTTTCTGGGCACCATTGACCAATGAATTGATTCTTCTCTCCCATCTACAGCATCACTTTGTCATTACCAAGCTTCCAGAGAGGCTTGGGTTTGTCTATGGGCTGTCCCGGGCCACACCACACTGCCCTGTAGCAGGGCTTGCTTTGGTGGAGGAAATTCCCCACCTTGTTCATCTTCCTCCTGCGTGTCATGATTTTCATGGCCCTTTTACAACAATTCACACATTTTAGGGACAGTTCAGCTGATTCCACAATTTAACTCCTTGGCATTCTGATGGTTATTTTCATTGTGATTTCGGCATCTAGAAAATTTGCAAAATTCTCTTTGGGACTTTCTGAATTATTTTCATTCTGTGAGTTATTTTGAGAGTGTTATGTTGGTAATCATACCATCTGTGAAAATTTTGAGCTTTTTCTCTTTTCGTTCTTTGAACCTTCTCATCTGCTTTTTGATTGACTTTTGTTGGGTAAAATGCAGTGAGGAGAGTGGTAGTAATGAAAAAAGGCACCTCTTCTTGCTATATATATATATATATATATATATATATATATATAGTCACTTTTCATGTTTTACCATGAAGTTTGATGTCTGCTGTTGATTTATTGGTTAAAGAAAGTAAGGTCTTTTTAATTCTGAATTCCATAACATGTTTTTATCCCCGTCTGTTGAAATAATTTTATGTTTTCATTTTTTTTTCTCTCTGCCATTTCAATCATTATTTTCTAATTTGAATTCTTGAGCAAAATCCAACTGAATCATATTGTATTTTTTAATGCATTGCTGAATTTGTCATGCTAACACTTTTTTCAATACTTTTGCGTTGACCAATTCATTCCAGAAATAGTTATTCAGGTCTTACCAGGCACTAAAATAAACAAAAGCCCTATTTTCATCCGAGGGGTGGGAGACAGATAATATACCGAAGGCAGAAGTGGTACATGTGGGATTGTGAAAAATGCAGAGAAGAAAACAAATCAGGGGAGAGAGGTAGGGACTATCGGCCTAATGGCTTTAGTGTCCATGTTTTTCAGGGAAGTAATGACCAAAAGGACATTTTCAGAGACAGGAAGGAGGTAAAGGAGCCTTGCAGGGGGCTGTTCTCTAAGAGGCTGCTGAGAAAAGGGGTTTCAGAGGAAAAGTCAATGCCAATGTCCTGAGGACAGTATAGACCTAGGGAGTTTGATGAAAAACTCTCTGAGAAGTCAGTGGTGATAAAATAGATAGAACT